GATCATGACCTAATTTTCCTCCCATAAAAATCACAGCACATAATAAAGAGTGTGCCTCACACATTATAGGGAGGTTCTCATCCTTGTAAATGGCAGCGGCACGTGACGGATGGGATTAGAAGAGGTGTAAAATGTGTATGAGACATGTGGAGAACAAATTCCACAAATGTCAGTGGTCTAAATTGTCAAGATGGGCTTGAGGGGGAGGCCTGTGAAATTTGAATTTTGTAGGCAACACAAGGGAAAAAGAACATCAAATTCTAACATTGCTGTAAGCAGTTACGATCGATGTTTTGCAAAGAGCAGTAATTAAATTTGCACTTATAAATTAAATCCTCATGTCCCGACTGCAAATAATTCATTGTTGAGTCTCCAGTTATTTCCCTACTTAGACTTTTTTATTGAATGCAATAATGTCTTTTTAACACTGAGCGTCAAATTGTGTTAGGCGCTTCAGTCCTCACCACAGTCCTGGGTTTTTATAGATGAGACATCTGAAGGTCAGTTATCTAACTTCCTCAAAGTCACAGAGCTAGTAAATGATAAAATGAGATCCGTCAGACACTAAAATCATGTGATCTTTTTTGTTTTGTCTTCTGTCTCTCAAAATAATAGTCTATACAAAGACCACTAGTGGTTAAGATACACGAAGTCAAGCTAAGTCCATTCAGCTGTACTCACCTGTGTGACCTGGGACTAAACAGTTACTCTGAGTCTCAGTTTCCTCACCTACCAGATGGCAAGAATAATAGTACCTCCCTTGTAGGGTTGTTGTGAGTAAAATAATAAGATAACCCGTATAAATAACTTAAGATGATAAGCACTCTAATGATCTTGGTTCTTTTTATTATCTTTTATACCACCCTCGCCTCCTGCTGATCTCTGCCCAGTTCTGTGCTAAGCATTTTATGCGCATTATCATTTCAATAGCTCTGCAGGGCAGGTGTTAGATCCCCATTTTCAAGAGTTCCAAAGTTTGTCTAGCTCCAAAGCCTGCTTGCTTTCTGCCCATATAATGACTGCATTTTCCTAGTCTATGTTTTTTGTGGTGATATGACAGTGACGGTGAGGTCTTTGTAGCTGTGGTCGTTGCCCACTGAGGAGGCAGAACCAGAACTCAGCCCCAGTCAGTCTGACTGCAGAGGCCCAGCCACACTTGGCCACTGTGCTGCAAGGCTTGGAATTGATGGTTCTGCTAATTCCATATATAGGAAGCTTGAAATTGGGGTACTTGGAAGAGTTATCCAGAGTTGTATTTTTATTTTACAGTCGTATTCCCCAGTAGCTTCCAGAAGGCTTCCAGTCTTCCTAATAACTTATTTCTAAGGCAATCAGAATTAGTTCGTAAGTTTGGGCAGAATTAACAAGGGTCTTGCAGCCTAGCACAACTCTCCGTCCCCTTTTGTGTAAACTTGGAAAGGCCCTGTGAAATGAGTAGGTTGTTCCAACCACGTGATAGAGCTTCATAAATCCATTTCTCATAGATTATATAAGCTTTCCCATTCATCACTCATTGGTACTGTTATTCTTCCCCAAAGAATGAAGGGAACTTCATTTCATTCTCTTGAAAGTATCTCTTACAAACAAAATAGGATTGGAATAACCAACAAAATTGTGAATAAGTCAGTTTCCCATCAGAATTCCAGCTGGAGCTTTTAGTACAGAGGCCACACTCTTGGCCTGGCTAGAAGGTGGCCAGACAAGGAGCAGCTTTTAAACAACTTCATGTATTCAAGTTTCAGGGTTAAATGAGTAACAGTAATTTGGGGAATGATTTCTCAGACTCTTTGATGAAGGTTCATGTCATCTGCTCTGATGTAGTCTGATTTACAAAATGCCCTTGCACTTGGGAAAACTTGTTACGACAGTGGTGATAGTCTGATGTCTGACCCTTTACACCCTGCAGCATGCTCACTTGCACACCATTGCACTTGAGCCTGAGTATGGCCTTATAATCTGAGGCTAGGGCCTGGCTCACAGTGAAGAGAACTGGCCTTCAGGATGGTAACACTCCCCCCAGTGAAAATCTCCTTCTAGAGTGTATTCTAATATGCTCTTAGACCAGGGGTGGGGAACATCTGGCCCAAGGGCCGCATAAGACCCGAGAAATCATTTGGTCTGGCCCTTCTAAGGCATTAGGGGTGAGTTAATTAAATATTTGACCAAATATAGCAGGTTGATTTTCAAGTTGATAATTTTGTATGGCCCATAAATGATATTATAAATATCCAAATGGCCCTTGCCATAAAAAAGGTTCCCCACTCCTGACTGAGATGAAACAGCCAATGAAATATTATGTTCTCCTGTCTCACCCTGCATTGATGTGTACAAGCACAATTTTTCAGGCATCTGTCTAAATCCACGGTCCTTCCTTACCATTTACTCTCCTTTGTTTCTCTAGCATTTACTACAGTTTTAGGAGAAGGCAAGTGCTCACATTTTTGGTTACAGTTGAAATTTAACTGTTCCCATTGTAGTTGGTGGGGATCTCATTCTCAGTAACTTGTTAAGAAAAGAGAGACAAAACCTGGGGGACACCAAGCATAACAGGACAGAGGCCTATCACTAAGTTTGAATTCATTTAAAATGTTTTTAGGTAGGAATTGCTTTATGTGCTGTACTTGAGGCCAGAGGCAGAAGGGTTCTAAGAAACACCATTATTTGTTGAAATACATCCTTGTGGGTTTGGAGCCTCTGGCCTCTGTAGTCAGGACTGGCTAGAAAAGCTGAGCTGAGCGAATAATGACTGCTGAGGACGTGGAAAGTGAAGGTGTTAGTTACTTCAGCCCCAGGTTCCTGCCCTGGCCTCTCCTCTGCTTAGCTGTGCTGGTCAGGAAATCTCTCATTGTGGAATGCTCAGCCTGTTTGCTGTGTTGAGTTGACCGGGCAGATGTGAACACTCGTCTGAAGGAACAGTGTTTAAATATCAATGATAACGGTGCATGGGCAGGTTGTCACCCAGGAGCAGCCATGGTTCAGCTTATTTTGGGGGTCAAAGTAAAGGGAAGAGAACGCTTCTTAGAGGTTGTGGTCCTTGAGCTCAACAACAACCAGAAAGAGACTGGGGACATGTATAGCACTGGTACTTATTTTTAGGGATGCCAGCTCCTCTGGAAGCCAAATGATCTCAGTTGTTTTTGCGTGAAGTCCCCTTCTCCCCTTACCCCCTGGCCCCAGTTGAACTTAGCTATGTTGTGATTCGGTTTATTTTGTTGAAAATTCAGTCCCCTGGGGAAAATATGATAATGCTGTTTTCAGGCAGCTGTGTTTGGGAATGAGATGGACTGAACCAGCTGGCTGGCATCATTGGAGCCCAAGGACCTGCCAACCCATGGAGAGCAGCTGTTTGAGCTGAAATTCTTATCATTCTTATGACTTTGCTTCCTATATTATCAGCTTCTTAGTTCTTCTAAATGCACACATGAAGGAGAGAAAGCCATGACAAAGACTCTGATATGTTTAGGGCCACCCATAGTTTAAGGGACTGGGCCGCCATCATCATCCTCTTATTATTCATGACTGTCGGAAAAGAGAAAATCCAGAAGGAGGCTAGCTCTAAAGAGGAAGTGACAATAATGAGAGGATTGATAAATATTGATTTAATATAGTCGGGGTGTTAGAAGATTGTTTAATGAAGGAGGAAATGTCACAATGTAATGTTGAATGAAATGTATAGGATGCAAAACAGTATAAAGAATATAACCACATTATGGAAAAGTATTCTTTAACATTAAGTGAGATAACCAGTACAAAGCGCTTAACCTGGTGCCTGGCATGGCAAAGACTAAACAAATCACAGCTACTGGATGCAAACTCTATAACCACAGGCAACATGTGCCTGGCATAAAGTAGATGCTTAAAAGACCTTTCTTGATTGCATGAATTAGTGCTGCTGTTATTATTTGATGCATTGAAAAATGAATCTGGAAATTCTAAGGACATGGGTTTCTGTGTGGTCATCTGAAGTTATATCTGATTGTGGCAGCTTAACCTCTGTGCCTCAGTTCTTCATTATAAATGGTGAGGAGAGTACTTATTGCTCAGGTCACTGAGCACTGAATGAGCCACCCGTGAAACACATGCAGTGGCAGGTACCTAGGGAACCAACATTGAACGGTGGCTACTGTAATCAAGCTAACTAACCATATAAGTGGTATGTATTATAATAATTCTGCTGTCCTTGTGTCTGTAGAAAAAAGAGTTGTCATGATTTTTGTCTAACATTTTCTCGTTTTTTACCTTGGACTTTTTTTAAAAAAAAATAAAAGCTTAAATGTTTACAAGAAAATAAAACTCAAAAGCTAATAGTGGTTATCCTAGAATTGGGAGAGTTTTTCTGTTTTCTTCTTGATGCTTTTTTCAAATTGCCTGTAGTATTTATATATTTCTTTTATCATCACAAGGAAACACAAGTCCCCACCCCCCTTATAAATAAGGAAAAAAATTGCTCAGCATCAAAGATAACACTAGCCGAAACCGATTTGGCTCAGTGGATAGAGCGTCGGCCTGCAGACTGAAAGTTCCCAGGTTCGATTCCGGTCAGGGGCATGTACCTGGGTTGCGGGC